TTCTCGTCCAAACTAAGCAGTCTCTTTCAGGTGAAGGTGCACGAGCAGGAGGTAGTGGATGTCCGAGGTCATCTCGATCTCGGGCGTCTGCCATGAACTGTGGACGCCGTAACTCCGGCGTGCATACCCGATGCAGGTGTGCATCCAGACTCCTAACCCGTCCCCCGTGGGTGTGTACAGGTGTGTACAGCACAAGGTGGTAAGCACGGTTTTTTTCTTGAAGAAACCCGGCCAAAATTGGGAAAACAAGAACCAGTTGTTCTCCGGTTGTACATTGGGGTAAATTAGTGCGTAAATTGGTGCAAAACCGGCCAAAAGAGGCTGAAACACGACAAAACTAGCGGAAAAGGAAGGTTTGTCTCCAAATTTTCTCGAATGAAAACTGGTTAGTCCTCGCCAAGTGTTTTTACCAGGAAGCGCCCAGGTTTGCGTATGAGTCAGCAGTATTATATAGCTTCACAAAACTGCATAATCTCGCTGACTCATTCAAACGAAACCGGCAAGTACGTGATAAAGAGATAAGATAGCGAGGCCTGCAGTATGCCTACGCGGCGGTAAGGAGTCTGGTGTGCATCTCGGAAAATTAGTAGCTTTGCAGATTTTCGAAGTTATTATGGCATCGTAGGCCACCCACAAGATAGTAATACATTGTTACTCAGAAGGCAAAGGTAATACCGAGACAGGGCGTTCGCGAACCCAGGCCCAGTGCAACGCTCCATCGGATCGCTCGTTTTACTGATCCTACTACACCGAAAATGCACATTCTATTAAAAATAGACGCCATGGAGGTCCGATAGACAGAATAACCCGAGAAACCAAGCCGAGAATACGCATAGAGACGTGAGCTGGGTGATTGGCGAATAGATGCGGATAACGGCATACGGAATGGCATGGCGTGCAGGAATCATTTCTGTGAGGCAGGTAGAACTTCATAGTCTTCAAGAGGAGCAGGTGCAAGTGACAGGATGGGCGATGCAGCGGGGGACCGCTTGACATGTGGCTCGACCGATGACACCCGCAGGCGTTTCAGGGCAGGCTCGCAGTCGGAGCAATCGGAGCAGTATGAGAGCTCGCTCTTGCACGGAGAAGGTGACCTCCGTGCAGCGGGAGAGGACGGCCGAGATGGCGAGCGCGTGAGCTGCGGGAGCTCAGAGGCGTCTGGCGGTGGCACCAACCTGCGTTATATCAGCTCACTCTCATCGACCTAGGTGGGGAAGACAACTTACTCTAACTCCTCGCTTTTTCTCTTCAGCGAAATATACTTTTGCTGGAGCTCGCAGTTTTCTCTGCGCATCTTGATCGCGTGGTCGCGCGCGAGGCGGGCAAGACCGACGAGCCCGAGTGACGCGGATGCATGCAACGCGGCGCGCTTGCGCCAGACCTCGCAGCAGGAGCGCAGTGAAGCATTCTCCGCCCGTAGTCTGTCGCATTCAGACGCGGGTGTCGATCCTGGCACCGCGCTCGGGATCGTGAAGTCGAGACTCAGCTTGCGAATCGCGGGTGTCAGATGCGGGCGCAGATGGTGAGGAATAAGCTGCGGATCTACAATCGCTGAGCCAGTTGTCAGGACAGGAACCAGTGAGAGTAGTGTCGAGGGGACGTACAGATGGTGTATGGGACTCGACATGTCGGGCAGAAGTGTTGTTGCGTGAACGGCTGTACGTTACGCACGACTCTTACGATGCAGTCGTAGCAGAAGACGTGGCCTAGCGGAAACAATATTGACATGTGTTGAGAAAGTGTCGCAATTGGAGCTTACCGCAAGGAAGCACTGCAGGAGTGCGCAGTGCGTTGAGGCAAATAAGGCATGTGGGCATGGCAGAGAGTTGCGAAGATTCTCAGAGGTGCGCGGAATGGACAATGCACTAGCTATCGAGGAGAAGGCTTGCGACTAACATAAAAGAATATGCTACACGCTCTTTATACCTGTCTCCAAGCAGCCCTCGGAGGTAACAGGTATCGCAGACACCCGAAGCCTGCCGGTATGATACCACGGACGCACCTTGCAGCGAAATGTGGGGAGTACATCAGTATAGAGCGTGCATTGGGAATCCAGACGCATGCCATATGAAGGGACACTGCAGCAAATGCTTGGCTGCGAGCGGTAGAGCACTTCGTCTGGGTGCACCGACGCTCGAACCCGAGCGGTCTAGACGGGTTCTTCCGCGGGCAGCGCGATGGGCAACCTGCGCGAATAACCGCAGATATCTTACCTTCCGAGCCTGTAAAAGTTGTACATTGTATGAGACTCGTAAGATGGTCCCTTTGCGCACACAGTAAATCTCGTAGTCGAACTGAGAGGAAGGAAGGAAGGACGTCCGCGCAGGAGACGGGAGTCTAGAACTTGGCTGGAACGCGTTTAATTTTTGAATATTTACTATTTGATGCTATACCTATATGTGGTTTTTAAATGAGATTATACGTTCGCAAGTCTTGTTCAAGTAAAGCATCCAGCTAGCGATCCTTGCAAGATCCTTGTCACTTTCACTTGTGACGCGTTTCAGAGCGAGTACAGAGACACGGCATCGCAAATGATTATAAGTCAGATGCTGGTCGGACGTGATGCAACGTATCCAACGCCGTGCCTTGTGAAGCGAGCTCTGAAGACGACGTACAGTATACCCAGCTTCCGTCGACCTGCTGGCTATGACGGCCATTTCTAGTACACCTGTGACTGAATTGTTCAAGATTGAGCATCCGATTATCTGCGCATGTATGCTCCCATAACGTTCCAAGCTCTCTGGCTAACACCCGCGAATTGCAGGTATGGACCACACGTCTGGTCCGGAGCTTGCGGCTGCAGTTACGAACGCAGGCGGTCTAGGGTGCTTAGCAGGGAGTAGCTACACGCCAGAGCAACTTAGGACGGTTGTAAATACACGCTTGCTTTCAAGTTACACTGCCCATTAATATTGGATTGCCAATAGATACGACAGCTCAAGTCTAAGTTAATGAACCCCAACGCACCATTCGGCGTAGATCTGCCTTTCGTACAGATCGGCGGGAACGCCCGCAAGACGAACTACGACTACAACAAAGGCAGAACCGCAGAATATGTCGACCTGATAATTGAGGAGGAGCCGACCCTCTTCGTGTTTGCCGCGGGCGTGCCGCCGCAGTGGATTGTAGACCGATTGCATAAGGCGAGGATCTTCGTAATGAATGTGAGCCGCAAACTTTTCCTTCGGCTCCTGCCGCGTCTCACTACTTGTATCAACTGCAGATAGTCGGACATCCTAAGTACGTCGCAAAAGCCCTGCAGTCTGGCGTCGATCTGATCTGCTCGCAGGGAGGTGAAGCTGGAGGTCACACTGGCGATATTCCTGCATCTCTGCTCATTCCTGCATGTGCCGACGCGGTTAGAGGACATAAGTCTCGGCTAACTGGCAAGTAAGTCTGCTTGGTCGGTGCAGGAGCAATATACGACGGGCGCGGACTCGCGGCAAACCTTGCCTGGGGGGTCCAGGTGGTTTGGGTCGGCACACAGTTCTTGGCGAGCGTTGAAGTGAGTACACCGGAGATGCATAAGGAATTGGTCATCAAGGCTGGATGGGAAGATACCGCTCGCACGCTCATTTTCACTGGGCGTCCTGCAAGGGTGTATAAGACATTCTACGTTCGGGACTGGTATGTAATCTGCATTCATAATATGTCCGGCATCGGCATGCTGAGAGAATCACAGGGAAGAGAACCGCCAGGCTGAAATCAAAGATCTGATCTCCCGAGGAATCATTCCAGCAGACGGATCTGATAATCGTGCAGTATACCCCAGAGACATGGACTCCGAGCCGTACCCTACTATGATGGCACCCTGGTTTATAAAAATTGAGCAAATCTGCTTCTTGTAGCTTACCACAACCCCTCTTCGTGAGCGGTTTTGCATAAATCGATGTGCGCACACCTTGACTATGTATTCGCATTTTTGTTGTATTTTATTGAGGTCTTGCAAGAGCTGCGGATCGATTCCGGTGCGCAAAATGGGACCTGCTCCCTCGTTTATTAATTTCGTCACACTAGTGTCACACCAGATGCCGTCGAGTCGTGCTGCTGCCGAGAAGCCGAGCCGTCTTTCCAAGGTCGACCTTAAGTCACGTAGGCACACGCGAGAACATGTATACGGGGGACCTGGGGCCTGCCAGGTCCTCCCCTGGTTTCCCATGCGCATTACTGACAGCCTCCAGTGGCACTGCTGAGCGTAGGATCGTTGCGACTTGCTGTCGAGAGCCCCTCGTTGCCTGCCGTGTCTGAGATCAGGCGGAGTGACAATTTCATCACACCTTGCCCGTTCATTGTAACGCTCCACAACTGTTCCTTCTCTGTGCATGTACCTAGCACTTTTAAAACAAAATATATCAGCCTACCAGGCTCAGTGCAAGTGCACAAGTTCATAAATGTAGTCGCAAGAATATTTGGTGAGCGAGATCTGGTTGGATCTAGCCATCAGTAGCATGTTTCAGCCAGTTTTAGACTGCTTCTGAGCATCTACAAAAATACCATACCGTCTTTCACCTTATATATGTCATGATATGGGTATCATATTATAGCATGGAATACAGAAGCTATTCTTAAAAAAT